CCGTCCGAGGGTGGATAGTCTTGTCGTGAATCTGTACTCTCAAAAATATGCTTTCGACTTTTTGGTCTTGGTGGAAAGGGTGCAAACTTATAGACTCTGATCAACTTCCTAATTTCTTCTAGATTTTCTTGTAATTTTCTTCTCGCTTGACCAATCACCAAAGGTCCAGCTGAGAGGTAGTAGAAATACTCCATATCATTTCCGCGTATCAGCATGCTATTACCCTCGAATCTTTCATACGCTTTGCGGAGGAGTTGAGTATAAACATTGATGGGAAAACTGCTTGCCCACAGATTCCCAACTCTGTAGTGAGTCACTACGTTGTGACTTTGTTTAAGATCAACAAGCGTCTTATCAAACTTTCCAAAACCGAGCACCATTCGTTGTGCAAAGTATCGGCTGAGCTGTGCACCTTTCTTGAATAAAAGTTCAACAACTTCAGAATTGATGAACGAGTCACCAATTCTTACAGCGTGAAATAAGGCATGAGTTCTGCCAAATTGACAGAGTAGCCACGTGGACTTGACGTCAGAAGAATGTACTAGAACATGCCAGTCATGTGAGCATCTGGCGAGTGGTAATGGGTCTTGCAAATATGATATAATTATCACTTTAAATATGCGATCTAATCTATTGAAAAAATCAAGATTATCTTTTTGTTGCACTGTTTGATTAAAAAAATACCGATTAGTTGTACTACTACTTCAAGCAAAGTTTACTACAGCATAAAAAATTGTTTTCCGATCTCATGTCTATAATTCTTTCAGACTAACTGCATAGGTGAGATGGGTATATAATAATATTTCTTACCATTGATAATCGTCTGCATAGCAGAGTCGTTATCTGACGAAATGTTCGTCCGAATAAAAGGTTCCATGCCGAACAAACTGTCGTGTGTTGATGTTGGTTGTTTATAACCGTCTTGCATGACTAATCCCGATAAGGTAGTATCCCTTTCAATATATATGTTGCACAGTTTCCACCAAGACCAAAAAGTCGAAAGCATATTTTTGAGAGTACAGATTCACGACAAGACTATCCACCCTCGGACGG